AGACAGAACCGAACTGGAGGACCAAGACTTTCAGCACATAGTGGCTTCCGCATAATCCGAAATACTTCTCCTTGAATGCGGGCATGGCGGGGACCCTACGAAATAAGATCCTTCACAATCCACGCTGTCCGACGCTGTCCCTCTTCGTTGCCTCACATATGAGAGGGATGTACAGGGTGCGGATCCAAGGGACGTAGATTACTTGGGTCGGCTTGGCTCGCTTCTTGCTCCCGGTGGCGGGAAGCAGCTCCCAGGCAAAGACCTGCACCAAAATGGCGTAGGGCAAGGACAGCAAGATAGCCTGGTCAAGGCCGCAGGCTCTTCCTTGCTCTGAGGACTGCAGACCTCCTATCTTATATACGCCTTTGGACTGTGCACAGCGGGCAAAAGCACCAGAAATGGCATTGCGGCTCGCAAGACCACCCCACTGCTGCCTGCCCCCAGCTCTCGCGGTCTGAAGCTGTGGCATCCAGCACAAACGTGGCTTCCAGCAGAATGCCGGGCAACTTCTTGCGCCACCTGCAGCGTTTTCAATAATACGGCACTCTTTCTGCAGGCATCCTGATAATGACTCTTTCTCTCTCGCTCTCCTTTCTCTGACTCTGACACAGCTCTCCTGGCGGGGGCGTAGCGGACGAAGTACTGGACCGCGAAGAAGAGCGCGACCAGCAGAGCCACGACTCGCAGAAAGGTGGTCACGGCAATCACCGAGCGCGGTGGCCGGGGTTCCCACAACCTGACGGAGCAAGATCGAGCACGGAGTGCAGATACAAGTATGTGAAAGTGAGTGAAGCCTAACGTGTGCTGGAAGCCCGGCAAAACAACGCTTGTTGCTGGGCTTGTTTTTTTGTGCAGCTGTGCTTTTGGGCCCGCCCTCGCCTCCGCGACGTCTCCCACGTCCGCGGCTTCACCTCGTCCAAGAGACCGAAGGAGTCGGCCAGCCGGTACATGTCAGTCATGTCAGCCTGAAGCCTGGATCTGATATATCTGATGCTCCGTTTCTTTAGTAGTGCAACGTGCCGTCGCAACACAAAACGCCGGAGTATGCCGCAGCATGACGTTTTGTTTGGTCAATGACCCATAAAACGAAATGTCCACTCCCACCCCTCCGATGTCCTAGCCAAGGATGCGTCGAGCAGGAAGATGGACGCCAAATAGCCCTGGTGCGAGACGACGACCTGCATGCGTCAGCCCCCAATTCAACTGCTGCCTTCGTTATACCCGGCGCGTTGCGGCCAAGAACGGCCAAGACAAGTGCAATGTTCCGTCGTGTTGTGACTCGCCTGGCAGCACTTGCGGCTGCTGAGCGTGGCGAAGCCATCATGCAAGGCAACCAGCTCAAAGTACCCGCAGCTTTCTTTGTGCACGAGCCGCGCCTGAAGACTCGCTCGCAGCTTGCGCGGCAATTCTGCAACCATCGGCAACCCGTACGCAAGGCTTATGCAACCCTGGCCTTCAGGGCTGCCAGCGCTGTCTGCACCTGCGACATGTCCTTGCAGTTCACCTCGCAGCTCAGGAGGTCCACCAGCCCCTGCGGCCCTCAGTCCGAAACAGCACTAGCTATACATCCCTTCTCTGCGATCTTCAGCGCCCCGCATGGGTTCCGGGACACATGTTCCAGCCAAGCCGCGCTGCCGATCTTCCGATCTGAGGTCCGTCAAGAGCCGGATCTTCGCCGGCGTGGCGGGAGCCGGAAGATCGGCCAAAGCCTCACGCACCGTTGACCTGAAGCAGGGTGCTGACGCGGTGCTGATGTGGTGCTGACGTGTCGGACGAGTCTGGGCCCGGCCCCGCCAGGATTCGCCAAGCGGCTCCAAGTGCGGCAAATGGCGCCTCGCCTCGCAGTAGAGGTGGCTCCTCGGGTGAAGACTTCAGCGTGCCACAAAAAAGATGGACACAGCACCACAGCAGATAACAATATTTATGTATGCTGACCAAGACCAGACTGCCAAGGCTCAGATCTGCCGATGCCTGCTGAAGTGAAACGCTTCCATAGCTCTCGAGACCCTCATCAGCCTCTGTCAGTGTGGACGGGCCGAGAAGGCGCACGGCCCCTTCCTCCTCTGCTTCTCCCGCGCGCTTTGCCTCAAGCACCTCGCAGCCGGGTACAGTACTTGAGGCATCAAGTGGCTCGAACTCGTGACAAACTTCGACTGCAGATCCCGTTTTTGAAGGCCAGGCGCCGCAGAGTAGCTGGCTTCCGTGGATAGAGCCACTTGCCGAGCAACTCGCTGCAAACGATCGAACTGCCTCCATGTCCATGCCAAGCTGCCTTGGGTGGTTGTAAACTCCTGCAGCCCGTGTGCTCAAACACCACTTCTGTGAATATTGCGCTGTGATCCAAAAGGGTCAGTATATGAGGATGTTAGTTCAAGAAAAGACGCCCAAGGCTGCCGCCGAAAGCGCAGCAACGAAGCAGTCTGTGGAGCTGGGCGAATTCGAATCAGAGAAGGACCTGATCACCGGCCAGACAGCCACGGCGTACCTGGAAAAGAACAACGCGAGAAGACAACGCCAAAGACGATGTCTCCATGATGGGCTGCAAAACCGTAGTCCCTGCAAGGCATATAAGCGCGGATGCACAACAGCTCACAGGCCGGAGGGCATGGAGAGGAGCATGGCCAGAAGAGCGGCCCGGCTCTCCATCTCGGCGGCGGCCTGCGCGAAGAAGAGCAGCATCAGCTCCAGCCAGCGCCAAGCCTCGGCGCCGCTTGGCCCGAGTGTGCCAGAGGCCCTCCCTCCACTGTTTAATCGCTGAGGTGAAAAAACATCCTGCGCCGAGCGGCCGTGAGGCAACGGGACATGACCACCCGGGCACGGCCGCGCAGGCGATGCTGCTGGCAGAAGCCCTGGAGGTTCTCGTGGAAGGTGGCGCAGCCCGGGTGGCTGCAGGGGAAAGGCAGCGCGTCCTTTTTGACAGAAGCTAAAACTTGCAACTCAAGCCGACTCAAGCCCCTCGAAAGACAGTGAGGCGTGCAGATAGCACGTCTGGTATAGCGCAGAAAAAAAGATACTTCATATCTCAGTGCCTTTCAGAGTGAAGAGCCAAAAAGCCCGTCAGAGCTCAACATCGCGTGGGCGGTCCTCGAGCGCCGTGCCCTGCAGCCCGCAGCTTCCCGCATTTTGCAGCACGGGACCTGAATTCTGCGGATTAAAAAAAATGAAGACTTCACTCGTCTCTGGCCGCTTTACTACAGCAGCAAGAGGCGTTCGAAGTTCGGAGGCTCTTGCTGTGAGGTTCAACATCTCAAGCAAGGCGCTCGAAGTTTTCGAGTGTGGGCTCGGAAAGGCTGGCTCCCCACAATTCTCCTCCGGGAGCTTCCGTGCTTCTTCCTCCCTCATGTCGTTTCACAGAACCCTCCTTCCGAAACATCGCCGGGTTGCGTAGGTTATAGATGTGGACTGAACATAACTCATGTCAAGCCCGGTCATGCAATTTTTGATGCTGCAATGTGCTCCGGCTTGTCTGATGCCCGGTGCCTGGGCCACCGGCTTGCCTCGCCAGGGCCTCTCTGCGCCCTGAGAGCCCACAAAATTTCACTGATCTCTCGATGGGGCTCTCATTGTCGTATCTTTACTCTATATATATATATATATATATATATATATGGGGAGGGGGGTGATGTCCTGAAGGGCTTTTGGTGCAGGACGGTCGCAGGGATTCCCGGGCCTCGATGTGAATCCAGGCGTCCAGGCGCCGCCAGCGAAGGCGACTCAGGCGCTGCGCCGCGTCGTACCTCGCACTCCGGGCTCCCGAGTGCCCACTTCTCCAACGATGCTTTAAAGGAAGCGAATGTATGATGATGATGATGATGATGGTGATGATGGCGATGATGGTGATGATGATGATGATGATGATGGCGATGATGGTGATGAATATATATATATATATATATATATATATATATATATATATATATAATTGTACGGAAAGCTGGCGGGATACTTATACATACAACTATACGCAGCCCATGCCGAGAGCGTGCACACGGTGAGGAGATTTGAGGAGCCAACATTGTGGAAATGCATGTCCGCAGATTTCTGCAGTCTCGAGGTGCATCTGCTGCTTGGTCTCGGGAGGGACGTTGGGGCAGCCGCTGAGGTGCAGCACCAGCTCTTCCACGCGCAATGCGGCAAGGGCCCTGCTCATGGAGCCCAGCTGCTGCAGGGACCTTAGTGTAAGGTTTGAAGTTTACATCTGGCAAGCTCCTCAAAAAAATCAACACAGGCATACGAGATCCCATGAACACGGTGGAGGGTTCGAACAAGGAGGCCGTCGCGTCGCTGTTCGTCGCTCACATCTTGGCCGGGCGGCGGGAGGTTCGCGAACCAAAGGTGCAGTAGCTGCAGCCGGGGCGTCAGGGCTGCACACAAGCCTGAGGCATCGCGAAGGCTGGACCCGGTGAAGCGCAGCACCAGCTCCGTCAACGAGGGCATCTCAGAGGGGCACCAGGACAGCAGCCGAACATCTAGCTGAACACGTGTAACTAGCACGAGGGTGAGATGAAGATGGATGGAGCACAACACCTAAGATGAAAAGTACTGTGCCGCGCCTCCGGGAATTCGAGCTTCTGGATGGCGGTGAAGCCCAGGTCCAGCCGAAGAACCGACAGCCTTCCGAGCAGAGAAAACACAAGAACTAAATTGTTGCGCTATAATATGCCCATCCATGTCTTCTCGGCCAGCACTGGCGCTCATGAACAGATGCGTGAGCACAAAATCACCTGGCCTCGGCAGCGCCTGTAGGAGCATCTGGGCCTCCAGGTCGCGGAAGGCGCGGCAGCCCGTGAAGGACAGCTGCACCACCCTCCGGTCCAGGTCGGCTGCCAGAGCCTCCAGCAGCCTCGTGCGTACTTCAGAAGGATAAAGCTGCCAATGAGAATGAGCTGGGGCAGCAAAGGCGGCTGCGTGAGCGACGTATCAAGTTGTTGAGATTTGAGGCAACTAACTGCAAGACTACAAAGACCCCTGAAAATTATATTTGACCCTCAAGGCCTGTAAGCCCAAATGTCCCAACCACGACCCAGGCTGAGGCTGAGGGCCCTCTCTGTACCCTTAAGAGATGTGTGTGTGTGTGTGTGTTTTTTTTTTTTGGGGGGGGGGGGGGGGGGGGGGGGGGGGGGGGGGGGGGGGGGGGGGGGGGGGCATAGAAAACCGCGCCAGGTGCCTGGACGTGTCCTCCCCCTGCACCAGCGCCCCAAAGAGCGCGGCCAAGGCGAAGTGCGAGGCCAAGGATCGGTTCCTCGTCTTAAAGGTAGAGGGTTCAGGTTTATAGGGTCTTAGGGTTTTCAGTTTAGGGACATCATCTATAATTACTGGATCTATGTGCAGCAGACTCATGGGAGTTGAAGCACTTGCTGAGTCAGAATTGTCGACGTCTATGCTGCTTCCCAGGATCGTTTTGCTTGATGGCTCGGAAGGTATGTCGGTTTGTGCTTATGCGCAAAATGGCTATATGCCAATGGTGAGTTACTGAGTGCTGAGTACAGAAACGCTTTGACTTTTCTTGACGCCGCAGTTCCTCAGGCCCGCTTATGAAAATCCGAGCTGCACTGCGTTTGAAGTTGGGATGGCAGCTGGAACAGGCTTCTTCGAAGAGCGACTGGAGGGGGCAGTGTTTAAGTGAAGCACGCAGAACCGCAGCGCTCGAACGCACTCTCTAAAAGTGTAACAAGCGCATCACAAAGGTATTTGGTGATGCTCTTCACGTCTGTAGGGTGGCCTGCGTTGACGCTTGGGCGGGCGATGCTCGTCAGAATGGCCCGCTTGTGCTTGCTCCGCAAAGGCGTGGCGCCGCAATGTTCACGTCAAGGCCCTAGACACGGCGTCAAGGTGTGTTAAGCTGTCCGCTGCTCAGAAGGCTTGATTATAGAACTCTGAAGCACGCTCATGAAGGTAAGGACGCGCGAGTAGCAGCATGAGGGTAAAACACCCCGAATTGTATAAGATATACAAGTTCTGTAATGAGCACGTACGTAGCACAGCAAAGAACAACCAACAGCGGCAATAAAAGAAGTTCCTACCCGGCGCCTTCGCAGTATCATGGTGGGAAAAATTGCTTCCCGCGTTGACTTGGCAAAAGAAGCCGAGCAGGGGCATCAAGCACCTGACTTCCGGACGCCCAAAGCACGACAGATGCGCCCGAAGGACTTGCACGGCGAAGCACGAAATGATTCAAACAATGTTTCGATGGCAAGAATCTCCAGGGCCAACCCTGAGACTTCTCAAGCCACTGTGGTGCATCGACACTCCGGTCCCGGGCGCCGGCAATGCTCTTGCTCGGCGAAGCCATCTGTGATCCGGCGCCTCCGGCTCCAAAATGTCCCCAAAAAGTCTCAGATGCCCCCTCAAAAACCCCAAAATTAAAGCAATATGCACAGCTGGGGACTATAACAGCAAACGGCGACGTCCCCAAGCGCGAGCTCCCGAATTTCACCCGCTTCTAAGTGCCTCCTTGAACTCGTCGTTGGGCGGCCACATCCAGCAGGAGGCGGCTGGTCCCAGCATCTCGCTCGCTGACCTAAGCAGGGGCAAGTTGAGATGTCTTGAGGCATGTTTCATTTTTGGCAAAGCTCGGATTTCAGTGGCTCCAGTAGCTCAGTAGCTTCAGGCTGCATGCCGAGGCCATATATGTATGATCTTGGGGCCCGACCACGATGCTTTCTTCGAAAGAAGCACAGATGCGTGGAACGGCGTTGCATCAGAATCGAGGATCAAGGACCCACCGATGCATAGCTCATGGCCTGTTAAAACGAGGTCTTGCGGGGGTTCGCCACGATCTCGGATGTCGTGCTGATTGTTGGCATAGGCACAGATCCAGTACGCTGTCTGAGAGATGTCAAGACCTCAAGCTGCGGCTTGCGAAGGACAGGCGACAAAATCCACGACCGGCTCGAGCCAGGCGTTGTGACACGAACCAAACCGGTCGGTGTTCATCCGCCTGGTGGCAATTCGTTCTACGGAGCTGCAGCCAGTCCCCCCATGCGTCCGCTTGGTACCAGAAAGGCGCCAAGTCCGGATGAAGGCCACGAGGTCGGACAGTGACCGATGTGATGACCCGCAGCTCAGTGGGAATTTGGAGTTCAGCGCTCTTGGCTGGAACAAGGTGGGTAAAATTGGCAAGGGTGAATTGAGGCTTCGCCACAGCAGAAGTCGCTGCTGGCTCAGCTTCTCAACGCCGCAGGATAAGAGCATGGTGCCTTGGCAAGGCTCCTCCAGCAAAGACCCTCACTCCGATGTTGGCACATATAGGAGTGAAGAAGGGAATGAGTCACAGAAAAAATTCAAGTTGAAATAGTCGTAAGAACGACACAAAGTTTGCCACTCGGGAGCCCAGTCGCTATATCAATGGCTCCTCTGCCGTGGCTCCAGCCATGGGAGTCGATCGGGTCGACGGGTGCCTCTTGTGGGCACTACGATGCTCGCCATTCTGCAGCTACTGGGGCAAAGACCCTGTAAGGCTGCTGGTGAGCCAAAATGACAGACGGTTGAACACTGGAATGTGTCCGTATGTCCTTCAAGAGTTGTATGCTTATCCAGCGCAGGCGCACCACAAGGGATGGGGGGCGAAACACAGCAGCCCATGGAACTACAAATCACTCCAATATCATGCTCATGAAGGGATCTAAAAACTAACACATCAACTAGAGAGAATACACCTCACGAGACACGAAACCCGAAGGTGGACGCGATTTTTGTTGCTGAGGCCTCAAAAGCTTGGATCAGTGCCAAATCTTGCCCCTAAGTGCAGAACCCGAAATTGTGGGGACTTCCTCAGACGATGGGAACTTTGCATGCAAAAACCCCATTGCGGACGCTTCATCGGCCGCAAGCTGAATTTTAGTGACGAGCCCCCTTCGGAACTCCAAGACCCCAGTGCGAGAGCGATGTGCAATTACGCTTAAAGCGATGCAAGTTCACAGCGTTTCACCTCCCGGCCCCCCTCCACCCAGCAATTAAGGAGAGCAAGCCTGCTTCGTGGCCTCTCCTGCGGCCTATGCGCCCCATGCCGTCATCTAGTCCAAACGATTGCTCGCGGACTGGCGCGCAAGCTAAGGCCATGCTTATGCATTCCTGGAAACCATCGAGAAGCCCTTCATCGACCCTTTTACCTGCCGAACGCTAACGTCCCACACCCAGGCGTTACTATGAGTTTCTGCAGGAAGGCCTGGGTCGCATGCGATGAAACATTCTTCATGCCGGCGTGGGGACCTGAGATTACTTGGGCAATCATGTGCCCGACAAGCCCGGAAGGAAACATCGAAAATTGGGGGGCAAGGTATTGTTGGATGCCGCACAAATGGTGGTCTTCAGCATCTCGCAGGTGGGAAAACTGTGGGGTAGGGTCTTGGATGCCTTTGGTGGGCGACGTCGGCTTCCAGTGCCGGATTTCGTGTCCGGCCCCAGTTTGTAAGAAAGAGGGTTAGTTTAGGTTAGGGTTTAGGGTGTAGGGTTTAGGGTTTAGGGTTTAGGGTTTAGGGTTAGGGTTTAGGGGTTAGGGTTTAGGGTTTGGGATCCTTATTACAGGGGAAATCCTACTATTTGGGGGTCGTTTTAAGGGTCCCGTATTCTCGTAAACTCCATATGATGCTGATGATGAACTGACTTAGATGTGGGGGGTAGGTTTATATGGGGCTTTGGGCGATTTTGGCGAGTGCCTTCATGGCTCAGAAAGAACATTGGCGGACTGTTGTTTGAGAGCCCTTTAGGAGATCATCGTAGTAAAGTGATCATCATGTGGCAAACCCGAAGCGTAACCGTCCTCAATCCTAACTAAGTCTGCAGGCATGGAAAGCGAAGTCTCAAACGCGCTAAACCCTAAACCCTAAACCCTAAACCCTAACCCTAAACCCAAACCCTTAAACCCTAAACCTAAACCCTAAACCCTAAACCCTAAACCCTGCATGCACAGGGTTCAAGGATGGGGTTTCTAGTTGGAAAACAGAGCGCTAATGGTCCCATGTAACCTCATTATTATGTAACTTGGGCCCTAAAGTCTTATGTAGGAGGTGCTGTAAGGCCCCAAGTATTCCTTATTTAGGTACATGGACCATTAGGGGAGGTCAATAGTCTAAGGTTAACCGTGTTACTTGGGAGCATGAACTGGACGGAGAACCCGATGTTTTGGCGTCTTAAAGTGTGAGGAAGTGACCATGGAAAGGGAGCTATAGCTTCCAGAGCCAGTTTGTTAGGGTCTCAAGGTGTCAAGGTGTTTTTTTCGGAAAAGACTGACAGGTGGGATGGATTCCAGGTCTTTTCATGGCTGCTGCGGTTGCTCTCTTATTCCCCTAATTAAACCCTAAACCCTATGCCTATGACCTAACCGCTTGTCAAGAGAGTTCCGGTCACGTAGAAAGACTTATGAAGCCAGGGTTTTACCAGGATGGGCTATTAGGTCCTATAATCCCCATAATCAACCCTATAAAGGGCCTTCTAAGGGGTTATAGGGTACTAGCACGTCCTGGTAAGCGGTTCCCTGTGCATTCGACTCGTGAACTGGAGAGACAGCAATTAACAGGGGTGTACATTATAAGTCACAGGTAAGAAGACCCTCTAGGATATCATGTACACCATGCGAAGATGCAAATAATGTCAAAAGAGCGCGTGAAATAAGTGTTTATAAGCGATTGACAGCATGGGCTTGTTGACCTTTGGCGTCTTCCACCACGGTAAGGGGCAAACCCTTCTTCCTGCTCCTGACCTCTGCCTGAAGCCTATCCTGTCCAAGCGATTAGCCTGCGCTAACAGCCCTGCGACGACATCTCAATGTGAGTTCTGCAGGGCTGTCGTCGACAAATTTCCAATACTTAGGCTTGGAACCAACACACTAAACCCTAAACCCTAAACAATCCCTACTTCCTAAACCCTAAAACCAGTTCAACAGCCCCCGACAGTATTGTCGTATCATAAATTCATCTCCTGAGGTCCCAACATTGCCCCAGCATGACAAGCATGACTCTGTCCACGTATGTACAGAGATCGATCCCAACACTGCCTTATGTGGGTCTGGCAGAATGACTTTTGAACATCTTTCCCTACTAACTGCGTTATGCTCGTTGAAATCTGATTCGTTCGGTACATGCCCTAGTGCGCCACGACGACGTTGGTGCTGTTGGGCTTTGGGGGGTGCAATTCCTGAGCCACATCTGCTGCTGGCAACGAAAGGCTGTTCTGCAGCTGGGGTGCAGAATTTGGTTTTTTTGGATGTTTTGGGGATACACTGGGAGGTTGCCCCCTTGTACTAGCAGTCCTTAATAGGCATTATAGTTCCCCCTACTGGAATCCCTCTCAAGGACTGCTAGTACAAGGGGAAACATTCCAAAGATGTGCCGAAAAGTAGCCACGGCTGGCTACCCAAGCACCTAAACGTCGCACGACCATACGCACGAAAATGCATCCAACAAGCAAACCGCTGAGAAATTCGCGCAAAACTTGCAATGAGCCCCCCCAACAAACATCCGAAACTTATAAAACGTATTGCAGGTGGTGGCTTCTTTTGCCTGGCTTCGGCTTGGTTGTTGGACCGCTAGGTGTCCTATGGTGTCCTTGCACCGTCAAGCAGCAAGCAGTCAATAAAAGCAATTCATGTACTGCTCCTACTCGTTTTTCGCTGAAAGGCGCGGTGCTTAATGTGCCCAAGCTTGTTTGGGGAGGGAAGAGTAGATGTGCCCTTCTATCTATGTGTGCACTTGCCACCACTGCCTGTGACTGTACCATTCACAGGAGTTGAAAGGGCTCACGGCCTTTCACCCCAAAATACAACAGCATTCGTGCCTCTTGGGGGGGGGGGGAAAGCCGGCGTAAGAGTCGCTCATTCGACATCGACGGCCTGGAAATCGAATGCCTCGTCGATGAGCACCTCGAACCCGCGCATCGGAGAGTGAAGCATGGCTTCCTTGTTCTTTCCTTCGTCGCTGTGGGCCCATAATACAAGCTCCATCATCTCTCGGACCATGTCGGGGATTATGGCCTTCTTCACCTGCACGTCTATGACCCAGGAGGGATCTCTGTTTGCCTCCAGCAGGTACACCCGCTGGTCGGCATCAACGATGATGTCCAAGCCAAAGATCTCAAACTGACCGACCTCCGGCAAGGACACATGGGCGCAAGATGAACTCGAATGTTCGGGGCAGGAAGGCCACTGGTGTGCTAAACCCTCTACTGTAAACCCTAAGCCGTCCCTAGGTCCCAATAGGCCTTCGCCTTTTCTGCGATGCCCTCCTTCATGCCGAGATTGACCTGCATGGCGCATGCGGTGCTTCAGACTCTGTCAGAAAAAAACACCTCTTCACAGGGCACCCTATCTTCCATACGAAATCCGAAGCCCGAAACCCTTAACCCTAACTCTGATTGCTTATGCAGGAATCCCCGATACAAACACACACACACGCTTTTAATGTGACTCGACAGGACTGTGCCTCCATGCAGATGGCTTTGACTTGCTGCCAGAAGTTGAGCCGGAAAGCAGGAATACCATAGTTCTCCTTCAGATACTTGTCCAGTTCCTGCCAGAGTTGGGGTTTAAGGGTTAAGGGTTTAGGGAGAGCTTGCACTTCATCAAAGCCCTTAAGGGTCCATGTACCCATGTAGTATATAGTTGGGGCCTTGAAGGGATTCCCATAGAGTAGCTAACCCTAAACCCTAAACCCTAAACCTAGGGCCCAAGTATATTCTGTATGGGTACATGGACCCTTTAGGGAACGAGAACTCACACCCCGCCTTGCAGCAGGCAGCAACAGGTTTAGGGTTTGGGGGTTTAGGGTTTAGGGGTTTAGGGTTTAGGGGTTTAGGGGTTTAGGGGTTCAGGGTTTAGGGCTTAGGGGTTTAGGGTTTTCCGCTAGCTTCGGTCAGACCCCAGGCTCGCGAGTTCATCTACACGTCGTGGCGCTTGCTTGAAGTTTGACCCCCCCCGGCCCAAATCCTACGCCCTAAACCTAATCCTTCATCCTTCACAGTGCAAAAAAATTGACAAAACCATGGCCCCAAAAAAGACCCTGAAGAGGGCCCATAAGATGCTTCCCCCCCCCCCCCCCCCAAACGCCCCAAAACCCCCCAAAAGGCCGTCACACAACCACCCCGAATATCAGGAAAAGCAAAACCTCCAAAACCCTCTCACAAAACCCCCCAAACCTCCCCCAAACCCCCAAAACCCCCCCAAAACCCAACAAAAAACACCAAACCCCCCTCAAAACCCCCCACAACCCCCAAAACCACCCAACGAACGTGGAAACGTTAAAAAAACAAAACCCAGCAAAACCCCCCCCAAAACCCGGCAAAACTCGACAAAACTCCGGACACAAACCTGTACAATTTCTATAAACCCTAAACCCTAAACCCTAAACCCTGAACCCTAAACCCTAAACCCTAAACCCTAAACCCTCAAAAGTGAAAACACAAAAGCCGTGGGTGGTTGCTGCCCATGCGGGTGTCCTCGATGGAGATCAGGTTTGAGGCCGCCGAGCCGCCGAAGTCATCTTGCTTCTTCTGAAACTCCTCGTTTAGGGTTTAGGGTTTAGGGTTTAGGGTTTAGGGTTTAGGGTTCAGGGTTTCGGCTTTAGGGTTTAGGCCTAATAAGTAGAATAAGTTTTTTTTTTTTTTTTATTTTTTTTTTTTTTTTTTTTTTTTTTGGGGGGGGGGGGGGGTATTCTAGTATAATTATAAAGGGACCATACGGGAGCATTTTTTAAAAATCTTCCGACTTCCGACCCCTATGTTGTAGTTTTCATTTGGGATGTTCCCCCCCTATACTAACAGTCCTGAATAGAGATCATCGTACCCCCTGTTAAAATCCTTATTAGGGACTGTCCTATTAGGGACTGTTAGTATAAGGGGCGCATCCCAAGTTTCCATTGTTGTCTGTGCGTGGTTTGGTTTGGGGTTTGGTGTGGGTTGAGGGCTGCAGTGATCGACCGGGTCACGCGCTGCAGCAACCGGTGCACGCTGCTGTGCAGACAACCTTTGCTTCTGAACCCTAAACCCTAAACCCTAAACCCTGAATCCCTGAACCCCTCCTGCTCTGTGACGTGTCGGAACAAGTCTTCGCGGTTGAACTTGTTTTCGTCGTAAAACTCGGCACAGCCTGGACCAGTTCGACAAGTGCCACTGCTGCTGCGCTCAGTCATACTGAGAAGACCGAGCGCAAGACGCTTGACGTAGGCAAAATTGTAATGGAACCTTAGCGTGCAGGCGGGCACCAGGTCTTCTAGCGCTTGCTTCTCCACAAAGCTTGTGACTATTGTGATTGTTATTGCGATTATTATCATGTGAGGCCCCCTTCGCTTTCCCGTTTCAGGCGCAGACGTGAGAAGTGGCTTGGTTCGAGCCACCAGCAAGTAGACCCGGATCGCAAACTTCCGATTCCTGGGTAGACCGGGCCCGAACCCCTAACCCCTAACCCCTAATTAACCCCTAACCCCTAACCCCTCACCCCTAACCCCTAGCCCCTTAACCCTAAACCGTAAACCCTAAACCCCATGCATCTCAATGAGGTTGGGTGAGCACGTGCTTCCACCAAGCTTCTCCAGCAGCATGGGGTTCACCATGTACTCCTCAACCGTACACAACTGCAGAAACGATGAGCCGAAGATGGTTCATGGTTTAGGGTTTAGGGTTTAGAGGTTAGTTACATGAATCAGTTGCATCTATCGCCATAGTGTAGGGTATCACAAGGGTTTAGGGTTTGGGTTTGGGGTATCATACAGAACGAGCCTGGATGATGCCGACATTGGCGAAGTGTCTCTCCTTGAGAGGAGGTTCATTCGGATCAAACACCTGCGCCCCGAGCTGAAACTGGAGCATCAGAAACATTGTGCAACTCGCGAAGAGTTGACAAGAATAAGCGTAGGCAAAAGAATGCGAACAAGCCTAGAATTGATGATGATAATTGCCTAAGGTGGGCTAAGAAGTCTGCTTGCCAAGAATGGGTGCATTCGCCTCAACGTTCTTGCATCTGGTTCGAAACGGCTTCTCCTTCCAGCACGGCACATGCATCTGGGCAAAGTCATGAGCCTGAGGCCTTCCCTTCAAGCCTATATAGACCTAAAAACCCTAAACCCTAAACCCGAAATTTTAAACCCCTAGACCCCCCAAACCCCTGAACCCTAAACCTAAAGGACGTCGCAAGCTCGAAATCCGAAGAGCCGGCTTAGTCTGTGAACTCTCCGAGGCACCTTGGAGTCCACGTCAGAGATCTTGTTCACCTCATGCTAAACCCTAAACCCTAAACCCTAAACCCTAAACCCTAAACCCTAAACCCTAAACCCTAAACCCTAAACCCTAAACCCTAAACCCTAAACCCTAAACCCACGGCGAAGCGGGGCTCACTTGGAGGTTCATGGTACTTATTAACCCATTAATAACTGTCCTGATAACCCAAATACTGTATAATCTAACCCAACAACAACTGCACTGAGAAGCATTAGAACCCAATTATAACCATAATAGGGCACTTAAGGGGCGATTATAAGAGGGTCATAAGTATAGTGCACAATTGGTTTATAAGTACCATGAACCTCCAAGCGATGGCGAGGCGGGGCCCAGCGGCTTCAACGACATCCTGGGCCCGCCACCAAAATGATGCCTCGGCCCATTGCCTCGCACATTAGGTTCTTTTGGGCCACCCTAAACCCTAAACCTAAACCCAACCCTAAACCCTGAACCCTAACCCTAAACCCTAAACCCGTTGCAGGTTCGGGTTGAATTACAGGGTTTGAGGGCTTGGTGATGTTTTGCCTCCCGATCGGGTCACAAGGCGAACCCTTTGGAGGCCTCGCAGCTTGGCTTGTAGATCCACTTCTTGTGCGGGTTCGCCTCCATGCACGGGGGGGCCGAATGTCACGAATCCCTAACACCCTGAGCTCTGAAACCTGTACTTCTAAGCCACAAAAAGTGCACTACTATGGTTCTAACTGGAATATAAGTACATCTACTATTGGGATAACAAGTACGATGAACCTCCAAGTAGCCGCCCGGAACCCTGTGTGCCTCCGCATGCCTCTTCCA